TTTCAGATCATCACCGTGATGTTTCAGAACAGTATTAGACATTCCGGATTCTTGGTGAAACAAAGCTACCCTCCTCCCAAAATCCGTGTTTTCAGATTCAGGTACTGCAGTGCAGATCATTTTCAGCCAATCACCTTTGGAGATAAGTCAGAGAGAGATGGGGAGTTCCCCCACCCCCCTTTGGAGGCAGAGCTCTTCATTCCTCTATGGTTGGATAAATGGAGAGGTGTGAAAGGGTGTATTAAAACAAATAACAAGAATGCCCATTGGGAACAATGGGAAGTGCCTGAATGGCCATTTGATATGATGGAAGGGTAGGAATGCAAACTAACTTACATAGGCACCACTGAAATACATTTCTGCAAACAAAAGGGGTCTCAATAATGCAGAAAAGTATATCGAGACCTGCTTTTGGAATGGACTTTAGCCCCCAGAGTGGACAGATAGTCTGTTCTGGGACTGGAAGCCCTAGAGTGAAACAATGGTCCCTGGCAATGCTCCCTCTGTGGAGTCTGGTGAGCAAAAAATCTGCTTTATGAGCTACTGGCATTAAAGTTCTGAGTGAGTGATTTTGCTGCTGCATAGTTTGCTCTGGAGCCATCCTTCCTGAGCTAAGACAAAAAATTATGTGAGCCGGAGGCTAAAAAACTGTGAGCTAGCTCACACTAACTCAGCTTAGAGGGAACATTGGTCCCTGGGACTGGAGGTTTCACAAGCGTAGGAAAAAGCATATAGGTATTTGGGGTTTTTAGTGCTGTGGCTGGCTGGAGCTCTCCCGCTTGTCTGCTGCTTGGGTGCCGTTTTAGGAATCGGGGGAGAACAGCGTCTGTGCTGAGAGGATTCGAGTCTGGGAGTCTGCAAAACTGGACCTGGGAGGTCCTGGGAGGTCCTGAAATGAGAGGGAGAAATATGATCTGCGGGTACTTGATACCATTATCTTTATAAACAGTTGCCCCAGACCTCGATACATTCCCAACTGGTGATCTTGAACTCCAAAACAACACAAATTTGAATTCTGTAACGGTAGTGTCCTTCCTTGAAATAAATTATCACTGTAATAATCCTGCCCCGCCAGCCCAGATCCAAAGTTATGATTTCTTTTTTGATATAGGTAAAGGCAAAGGTTTCCCTTGCTCGAAAGTCAGTCAAATCCAACTCTAGGGGGCAGCGCTTATTTCTGTTTCCAAGCCGAAGAGCCAGCGCTGTCCAAAGACGTTTCCATGATCATGTGGCCGGCATGATTAGATGCCGAGGCGCATGGAACGCCGTTACCTTCCCACAGAAGCGGTACCTATTTATCTACTTGCAATTTCTTGCTTTTGAACTGCTAGGTTGGCAAGAGCTGGGACCAGAGACAGGAGCTCACTCCATCATGCGGCACTCAGGTCTCGAACTGCTGAACTACTGACCTTCCAGCCTGCAGTTCAACGTCTTAACCACTGACGCCACCACAGCCCCTATATATATTTTCGATATACACCCCTATAAAAATCAGTCCTGAACAGGTGGCCAGAAGGAAACCAGGTCAAGTCCAAGATGGAACAGCACTGGTAGAGCTGGAACCATTTTAAAGACTCATGCTCAAATAACGTATGTTAGCAAACATAAATGAGGCAGAGCTACTAATTTAAATAAACTTGTTAAACCCGAGATCTCATCTCAACAGGCTTATGAACCTGGGTAAATAAGTTAAGAGCTCTGGGTTGGTGACCTCTTTTATACTGCTCCGAACGCCTTCCCTAGAGGAAGTGAGACATTACTACAGTAACACATCTTTTGTAAGACACCAAATCGTTATTGTAAACAATATGCCACCTTCTGGTGTGAACATAAGAGAAGCCAATGTTGGAATAGGTCAATGGCCCATCTAGTCTAACACTCTGTGTCACACAGTGGTCAAAAATACCAGGTGCCATCAGGAAGTCCAGCAGTTGGGCCAGGACACTAGAAGCCCCTCCCACTGTTGCCCCCCCCCACCAAGCACCAATACAGAGCATCCCTTGTCCCAGCCTGAGAGTTCCTATGTATAGGTAAAGGTTCCCTTGCTCGAAAGCCAGTCCAGTCCGACTCTAGGGTTGCGGTGCTCATCTCCGTTTCCAAGCCAAAGAGCCAGCGCTGTCTGAAGAAGTTTCCGTGGTCATGTGGCCGGCGTGACTAAACACCAAGGCGCACGGAACGCTGTTTCCTTCCCACCGTAGTGGTACCTATTTATCTACTTGCAATTTCTTGCTTTCGAACTGCTAGGCTGGCAGGAGCTGGAACTAGAGACGGGAGCTCACTCCGTCATGCGGCAACTCGGGTCTCGAACTGCTGAACTACTGACCTTCCACAGCCTGCAGTTCAGCTTCTTAACCACTTAAGCCACCGCAGTTCTATCTATACCTTGTGGCTAATAGCCACTGATGGACTTGTGTGAATTGAGCGAAACTGTCTGGTTGTATGGAAATTTTAGCACACCATCTTATGCATTCAATGTATTAGCACTAGCAGTTTATGAGGTTTTGTTTTATTTTATTGTATTGAATTTTACACTGTTTTTATGTGAATGTACGGTTATCTATAGACCAATTAAGTAAGCCACCCTGAGCCCGCTTGCTGGGGTAGGGCAGGGTATAAATTTAATAAAATAAATACTGTCCATTAGAGAATTAAATCAGGTATTGTATTACAAAGCCCATGATCTACAGAGAACTGTGTGTTTTCACAGATCTGGCCAGAGGGCAGTTTGAAGGTTCCTTTAATTTTAATCCAAAGAATGGCTTACCAAAACCCAGGACTCGAAAGCTGTGCTTCATATTCTCCTAAATACGAGATTCACCATCTTTTTGTTTCTTTGTTTCATGTTTGACTGAATAATCACTCAATCCATGTGACGGTCTTTCCTTTTCAGATTCAGAACTTTGTGGCTTTGTGGTCCTGTCCATGCTTTTTGTAAGAACATACCTTTTTATCTACTAGATCTTCAATAGTATGCAGGCTTTCTACCAGAAATCGTTATTTTCAAAGGTTATACCATCTCAACCGCCACGTGAAAGGGGGGAAAAAATCAGAGGGCTCTTGCTTTTCTCCACAAATTCCTGGGCTGGGCAAAAAAGCCAGATTCAATCCTTGTAACCAGGTGGGACAGACCGACTTTGAGAAAAAACAAATATTTCCATGCTATTTGGGGCAGCTCAGTCACAGAGGGAACTAAATCTTAGCCAGGAAATCTGCCTCATTGTGGGGAAGTTACCAGGGGTCTGTCACAGCTTGCTAATGGCCTTTTGTAGAGATCAAGCTTTGAAGTACCAGATATTAATCTCATTTTTTGTTGTTCAGTCGCACAGTCGAGTCCGACTCTTCGCGACTCATTTTACCAAAGAATAAAAACTGCATTTTGAAAGGCTTAAAATAGTACCATACCACCTCCCCCCTCTTGTTGGCAAGCTAAAGTACAATGTATACATACTGTTTAAATCTGTGCTGTCTCCATAACACCATAGATTATGTGTGACACCTGAATATTTTTCCTCTTTCCTTTTGTGTATTTACTGAGTAACAAGACAAAAAAATCACTACAATAAAATTTAAATACTTTTTTTTTCAATCCTAGTGTGAGCAGACAAGTCAGCTTACTGGAACAACTAGAAGATGGAACACAATGAGTCCGTCTGTTATTAAAACCAAAGAAATAAACCAACGCCGTGAGTTTGGTTTTGAATAACCACGTTCACATTTTCTGTCTAATCCCTACATAAAACGTAGCAAGGCATCGCTACTAGCTAACGATTATTATAAGCTTAGCCTTGTGCCTTCTCGTTCTCTTTGGAAGAGTCAAGACTCAGACCCTGTTTTAACAACAGATTTATAAATAGAAAGACAATAGCATTAACATCTTTTTATCTAGATCGAGGAAAGTGTGGAAACCATTGCAAGGAGCACAGACTGTCCCCAGTTAACACTAGGGCAAGTAGCACGAGGCTGGTCCCACAGACATAAACCTTGATTTAGTGTGAGGAATTATATAGCCCCAAGAAACAGATGTGGACACTACTGTAGCAGCTGTATGCACAGCATCCTTTTATGGGACAGCTTCCATCCAGTAGAGGAAGGAATGTGTGACTTCTTTCTGTGGGCACAGCACTATAGTTTTATTAGTTTCCATGACCAAATATCTCACTTGCTCAGGGAAAATCAAAACATTCCGCCCCACCCCAAAAGATAATACTGCTTAGTTGGTACTGTATATGCCGGTTATGTCTTAAGTGTTTTTTGATGGCTCCTTAGGTTAATGCTAGGTCTTGCACCAAATATACAGATGCTCAGACTCAACTATTGACCCAACATTTTCAATACAGATGTTTAAAAAAAAAATTGACCAGGGACTTACATGGTAACTATCCTACAAGGCAGCCAATTCAGCCCACAATGCACCAAAGCAGCTTTGTGGTGGATCAGACCGGTATTAGCACTGTTAATCTGCACTAATTATTTCCTGATACCCGTTTTAAAGGTGAAGAAGAAGAGGAGATTGGATTTATACCCCTCCCTTCACTACCCAAAGGTGTCTCAGAGCGGCTTACGGACTCCTTTCCCTTCCCCTCTCCACAACAGACCCCCTGTGAGGTAAGTGGGGCTGAGAGAGCTCTGACAGAAACTGCTCTCTTTCAAGAACAGCTCTGACAGAACTACGGCTTGCCCAAGGTCATCCGGCAGGTGCAAGCGGAGGAGTGGGGAATCAAACCCAGTTCTCCCAGATTAGAGTCCGCGCACTTAACCACGACACCAAACTTGGCTCTCCTACACCAAGGTGGCTTAAGGTCATCTATTCGGCAGGCAGTATCACTCACAGGAATGGATCAATTCAGCAGGCAGAATCGTTCACAGGAATGGATCAACATGTGCTTCCACAGCCACCAGGAAGCCATTTTTGTCCTGCTGGAGAAACATCTAGATGAGATATCGAGTACAACGTTAGTCACTCTAGCATGGTTTATTCTGACCAACCGTGACAGTGGAAGTCCCAAGAAAGAAGACTTTATTCTCCCTACACATGATACATATAAAGTGTTTGCTATCAGCCAGTCCATAATCCACTTATTCAGTAAGCCCAAGCTTTTTCTTCAGGGATTCCGGCATCTCGGGTGGAGGTGGGCGAGGGAGCCGGAAATACACTTTCACAGAGTCGTAGATGAACCACTGTAATGCCGTCAGAGTACCGATCATGATGATACGGGCAAACAGCCCCTTCCATACGCCTGTTGAACAGAACAGGAGAGTTTTAGTAAGTAGCAGTAAGTTTTATTCACGGTGGATGACCAGCACATAGTACACTGATGGCATAGCTTGCAACATAAATGGTACATATGAGATTAAAATAGAAGCAGAATTTTAAAAGCAGGCTTTTAAAAAGGAAAAAAACTCCAGAAAAACCATAATGATTAAAATTAATAAAACTAAATCTTAATTCTCTTCTTTTTGAGCTACTGTAGTTTTTCTAATTCTTAGGGCAAGCCCTCCAAACCTAGCCACCCGATGAGTAACGTCTGCTCGCCTATCCGATAAAAAACCTCCTTAAAAGGCAGATTCTTTGCCTACGAGAAAGAGGAAGCGTCTTAGAGAGAGGCAGAGATTCGCGGATGTTATGTGCCTTACAATCAAATATTATGCGTTCTATAGACTCAATACCATCTGCACAACAGGGACATATCCTTTCTTCATAAGGAGTTTCATTAGGTTTTCCTTCCAGGACTGCAGATGGGAGTACATCCCAGCACATTAGTGCAAATGTTCTTCTGTAGTCCTGATTTAGTTAACAGGAGGGGTAGGACATAGGGATTGCTCTGTTATCTGGCGCCAAGAGGGCTGGAGAGTTTTAGTAATCTGTAGCACCCACACGTGTGCTTAGTCCCGCCGTCATTTGAATCCTCACCTTTGATGCCAAGCCTCTTCAGTACTTCTAGCGCTGAACTGCCCTTTTCTTTGTTCAGAACAGACACGACAGAATCAGCGGGGTGTGAAACGATGGCACAGAAAACACCAGCTAAAAAAGGAAAAAAAAAAAAAGAGGAATTCAATTAATTTTTGTTATCCGTTTATTTTACAATATCTGATTCTAAATGGATACCTCACAACTGCTCAGGGCCGAGACAAAAGAAGTAACTTTGCCACTTGTTCCAAAAATTACAGAACGATATTATCTTAAAGTGTGTCAATAAGTTTATATATCTGGAAACATCCAAAATATGTTTCTCAAGATTTGGTCTTAATCACAAACTTTTGATTCAGAGAGAACTATCTAAAACCAGAATACAATATACAAATCTTTGGACATAAATGCCTTTCCTCTCATTTATATTAGCTTCATTGACCAGAGGTCTTAAGCCAAACGTACAAACAGCTACTATAAAACACATTACATATAATTACAAGATAATTTAGACCAAACATTTTTACAATAAAAACTAATAAACATACTCATAAACAATATTAATAGACAACATTTTATAAACTTCCATAAATTCCATAAAATCCCATATTATGGAAATTAGTTTTAGAATTTTAAAATTTGTATACATAAAACTGCCTACAGCATTTCAAAGTCGCTTTAAAAATAGCACCATCGATAGATATTTTGCCACCAAGCGAGTCATTTCAGGGTCCTCATCTGCTAGCAGTATGGTTACCACCCAAGGTTCCATAGGGAGGTGATGTCTATGCAAAATAGGAGTAATCCAACAGAATCTGGGGCCAATCCACTGGTGGAAAATAACAAAAGATGACCTAAGGTCTCTATTGCACCTGATCCACAATCGCACAATCTATCTGAATACTGTTTTTTAGCAAAACAGCCACTTAGCTCTGCACTGGAAAAACATTCAACCTAGCAAGCATGAAGACGTATCTAAATCTAGGGGATGTAAGGAAGCTCATATATGAGGGAATTCTCTTAGGTGGCACAATCCCTAAGGCAGAGTTGGAGCATACTCGCCTAGCACGAATTGGAGTCCTGAGTTGGTCAATGTTTGTTACCCTCAATGTGATCAAATGTAGTGCTTCTTTATATTGTTAAGCACTGTAGGGGCAAGACCAATCCTCTCCAGCTTGTTATCTATATGTTTTGCCCATGTACATTTATAATTATCCTCCTTTAAAAAATAAAGAACACCCCCTTGGGCATTAGGTGGGCTTGAAGCTCAACATCAAAAAAACTAAGATCATGGCATCCGGTCCCATCACTCCTTGGCAAATAGAAGGGGAAGTCGTGGAAGTAGTGACAGACTTCACGTTCCTGGGATCCCAAATCACCGCAGACTGTGACTGCAGCCATGAAATTAAAAGACGCCTGCTACTTGGGAGGAAAGCGATGGCGAACCTAAACAACAAAAATCCACATGGTCAAAGCAATGGTATTCCCAGTAGTTATGTACGGCTGCGAGAGTTGGACTATAAGGAAGGCCGAGCGCCGAAGAATAGATTCTTTTGAACTATGGTGCTGGAGAAGACTCTTGAGAGTCCCTTGGACTGCAAGAAGATCAAATCAGTCAATCCTAAAAGAAATCAACCCTGACTGTTCCCTGGAAGGCCAGATAATGAAAATGAAGCTCAAATACTTTGGCCACCAAATGAGAAGGGAGCACTCACTGGAGAAGACCCTGATGCTGGGAAAGACTGTAGGTCAAAGAAGACGGGGACGGCAAAGGATGAGATGGTTAAGACAGTGTCAGAGATGCAACGAACATGAAACTGAGCAAACTTCAGAGGACAGCGGAAGACAAGAGGGCCTGGTGGGATCTAGTCCATGGGGTCGCGAAGAGTCGGACTCGACTGTGCGACTGAACAACAACAACAATCTCAATTTAAAGGTGGCCTTCCAGGCTCTCGACTCAAAGGAAAATTGTGCAAATTCTTCTCTAAGTGCCGTCCCTGCGACACATTTAGGGACGCCTGCAATTCTACGTGGGAACCGGAGAAGGATCTGATCTGATGATTCAGAAATCTCTTTAATCCAGATAGCAGACCCATATAAAAATTGGGAAGTAACTTTCGCATTAAAAGCTGCAATGGCTATCGGAACATACTGGCTGCCTCTTGAATATTAGAACCTAAGCAGGGCATTAGAATTTGCTTTGGCAATTTCGGTTGCTGCTCTTATATGTTTCCAATGGCAACTGCAGCTAAACACTATACCCAAATATTTGAAATGAGACACTTGTTCTATAACTTTCTATATTCTTTGTTTTAAACAAGGTTTGTTAGGGAAAAAAACACATTATTTTTGATTTTTCATAATTAATCAGCAACCCCTCTTGGATACAGTAATCAGTAAAAGCGTTCACTAGCTTACATAAGCCAACTTCTGTTCTGGAAAGCAGTACCGCATCGTCTGCATAAAGTAGTACTTCATGTCCCACTAGTATGGGTGCGTGACAGGCTATTGTTTTAATATATGGAACTATATCGCATATGTAAAGATTAAAAAGCGTAGGGGCTAATAAGCATCCTTGCTTAACATCTTTAGAGAGATGAATGATATTTGTAAGTTGTCCATCTACTCCGCAACGAATTTGTGCAGTAGGATTCTCGTATAGTTTATAAATCAGCCAAAGAAGTCTCTCGTCTAGAGATGTTTTAGACAATTTGGCCCAGAGACGGCATGGGGACTGAGTCAAATGCCGCCCTGAGATCCATAAATGCTGCATGAAGGGAACCTTCTGAATAAGAAGAATATTTATCGGCAAGATGATACAGTACTACACAATGGTCCAAGGCTGAAACTCCATTTCTAAATCCCGCTTGCTCAAGGTGAATTATGGATTCTGTTTCTACGCAGTTCAGTAGTTTATGATTTAAGAAAGCTGCATACACTTCGCCCTTTACTGAAAGCAGGCTAATAGGCCTATAGTTAGTAGGAACTGTTTCTGAACCTTCTTTGTGTATTGGAACTATCACTGCATTCTTCTATGATTGGGGTTAGGGGTTAGGGACATAAATGCAAAATTCCTGTTATTTAAATGACTTGTATTACTGAATTTCTTGCCATCTCATGCAACACAAGGGAATTCAATAAGCACATTCCTTTGAGGTAAACATTTACTGCAACAGATTTTTAAAGTTGCTAAATGTTTCCTTACCAATGTAGCCTGCTACGAATGTAACCACCAGCTGTTCTGCCTTTGAACATTCACTTCTCGGTTTGGGAACGACGTATTTGTATAGAGCTTCCACGGTTCGTTCAAAACAGGCAAACTTCATCATTGTGTACGGAATCTGCCTCATCCACAAGGGAGCGACACCTTTATAGAAACTTTAAAACGGAAAAATAATTACTTTTTGTTCTGTTCATAGAATTACTCCGAAACAGACAGGGGGTCTGTGTTTACCCATAAATGCCTCACCATCTGAACAACCAAATCCACATATTTAGCATGAAACGTGCATTCTGACAGAAAAGGTCTGCATCAGTACCTTCTGCTTGTCTAAAACGCTCAACGAATACATGTGGAATTTTCTTCCTAGCTTGCCAGTGGAACTTCATGTAAATCAAAGAATCAGAGCTGGAAGGGTCCATAGAGGCCATCTAGTCCAACCCCCTGCTAAATGTGGGATTAGCCTAGAGCACTGGTTCCCAAAGTAGGCAATACTGCCCCCTGGGGGGCGCTGGAACGACCCAGGTGGGCGGTAGGAGCCTTGGATGCAATTGGGGGGGGGGGAATAAAAATAAGGGGGCGGTGGAAGCATAAAGGAAGAAGAGTCCAGAAACTATCTAAAGCAACATTTTACTGCCTTCTCCTGGTCTTCCCTGGGATCAGGGAGGGAGGTGGCGGTGGAGAGGGGTCCCCACAGTCAATCACAGCCTTGCATTTGCAAACTGCAAATGCATATACACCCTTGTAAGACTGGTGTTGCTGCTGGGCTATTGTGTGGTGGTTGCTGCTGGCCTCTGGCTTCAGGCCGACAACATCTTTCTTTACTTACTTACATCTTTCTTTACTATGTGCAAATCTGCCACTGCATCTTTTTGTAGCTTGTTTGTGGGGCAGGGGTGGGGGGGGGGGGGGGGGGCCACTAAGTAAAAAATTTTCTGAAAAGGGGGCGGTAGGCCAAATGAGTTGGGGAACCTCTGGCCTACAGCATCCCTGACAAGTGTTTGTCCGGCCGCTGCTTAAAGACTGCCAGTGAGGGGGAGCTCACCACCTCCCTAGGCAGCCAATTCCACTGTTGCATAACTCTTAACGGTAAAAATGTTTTTCCTAATATCCAGCCGGTGCCGTCCCACATATGTTCCCTCTAAACTGATTTAGTGTGAGCTGGCTCACAGGTTTTCAGCCTCCAGCTCACACATTTTTGTCTCAGTTCAGGAAGGATGGCTCCAGAGCAGACTAATTTATGCAGTGGCCAAATCGCTCGCTCACAACTTTAACACCAGGAGCTCACAAAGTAGAATTTTTGCACACAAGACTCCACAGCTTAGAGGGAACATTTAAACCCATTATTATGGAGACTGATGGGCAGAAGTCCTGTCCCTTTTCTGTCAGTCACCAACCCCCCCTCCCATCTGCTTGTCTGGTGAGTGTGCAGAGAAGCTAATAACCAATCAAGGTTTATGGATGGCTGGAAAAATGAGAAAAAAAGTTGTCACAGTGTCAGTTCAGGTCTGACAGAATGTGCATCTCCAGAGTGCCAGCTGGGAGAGAACATGATTTAGGAAACTAGGTCTCAGAGGCTGTCTTAATGTGCTAAATCAGTGAATACTTGCAGACAGGGTTTGGATTTACAGAGCAGAAGGCTGATAATCCTCTCTGAAGAAACTTTGGAAGTCTCACACTGACTTTTTACAATAAAGCAGCCTAGCAGAGTGAATGTGTTGGGAGGAGACTGAAATGGTCTCAGGGCCCAATTTATAAAGCAAACAGTCTAATAAGGTGTGGTTTCTGAGAGGAGCTCACAGTTACAACCGTGAGGATCCTCAGCTAAAGGGAAGCCGGTCTTTACTCCAAGCGTAAAAAGCTTGGCTGTTCAACCAGAGAGCTGACACTAAAATAGTTTAATGTGATGAGTCCAGCAAAAAGCTCTGTGTTATCTAAGCAGTTTCAAGCCTCATTACTCAAACATTTTATTTCTCCTATCCTGATAGTGAATAAAAATGGTTGCTTAAAAAATAATAATTTCCCTGATGTCTTATAGCATATTTACTTCAAATATGCTATACCTTCGAGACTGCCTTCTCCCCATATAAGCCCCGTCGGGCACTGAGGTCCACAAATCAACATTTCCTGGTAGTCCCCGGCAATGCTTCCTCTAAGCCCTGGAGTCTTGTGAGCAAAAATTCTACTTTGTGAGCTCCTGGCGTTAAAGTTGTGAGCGAGCGACTTGGGTACTGCATAAATTAGTTTGCTCAGGAGCCATCCTTCCTGAGCCAAGACAAAAATGTGTGAGACTGTCATGATCTGTGCAGGACTGGGGGCAGGGCCTGGTGCTACCTGGTCCCAGGAGAGACCTGCATAGCGGTGAAAGCAAACAGCCTACAGTCCCCATAAGGCTTAGCAACGGGCTATAGCCAATCAGAGAGTGAGATTCTGCGAGGAGACTGTTATACTGTGAGGAGAGTTAGTCTTAGCCGTTAACTGTGGGAAATAGGGTGTTCTTTCGGCTCTCTGCGGCCTAGTCTCACTGAGCGGACAGGCTGGACTGGGAAGACAAAGATCCCTCAGTTCTTTCGGTCTCTCTCTCTGTGGCCTGGACTGCGGGGACAGGCTGGTATGGGAGAGAGGAAGATCCCCACTGGGCTCAGCGTGAGGGCTAGGTAGTGTGGCCTGGAAGCAGAAACAGGCAGCTGCGTTAGGTTATGTTTATTTTGCCTTTCACACTGTTATACCCCTTTTAAGCACCTTGCCTTGCCTTGTTTTCCATGCCCCAGTGTTGTTTTTAATATACACTTTCTGTTTAATTACTTTCTCTGCCTGGGTCAACCACACCGGGGTGTTCTCGGCTGAAAAGGGGGGCATGTTGGATGGGCCTGGGAGGGTACCCTGGTCCTTCTCAGGGGACCTGGAGTCCAGAGAGGTGGCGGCGGAAGGTAGAGACCGCTGGGGTCATGACCAATGTTCCCTCTAAGCTGTGGAATCTTGTGAGCAAAAATCCTACTTTGTGAGCTACTGGTATTAAAGTTGTGAGCGAGCGATTTGGCTACTGCATAGATTAGTTTGCTCTGGAGCCATCCTTCCTGAGTTAAGGCAAAAATGTGTCAGCCGGAGGCTAAGAAACTGTCAGCCAGCTCACACTAACTCAGCTTAGAGGAAACACTGGTCATGACAGAGTCGGAGGCTAAGAAACTGTCAGCCAGCTCACACTCACTCAGCTTAGAGGGAACACTGGTCATGACAGAGTCGGAGGCTAGGAAACTGTGAGCTAGCTCACACTAACTCGGCTTAGAGGGAACACTGGTCCCCGGGGCCCCAGGGATGTCCCACTAGCCTCGACCAGGGCCACGGCCTTTTCAGCCCTGCCCCCCCCCCATGTGGTGGAATGAGCTCCCCTATGAGATCAGGGCCATGCAGGGTCCATTACAGCTCCACAGGGTCTGCAAGAGGGAGCTCTCCCACCAGACTTTGGGTTGAGGCGGCGGACGTCCCCCCTCCTCTAGCCGATTTCCCACCAGTGGCCTGGATCCAAAGAGACATCGGGGTACCCACTGTTGCATCTCAATTAATCTGAGTGACCTGATCTAATCTGTTTTACACAGTATTTTATTACTCTATTCTGTTTTAAACTATTATTTTAAAGTTGGGGGGTTTTTTTTGTATTGCATGAAGATTGATGTAAGCCACCCTGAGTCTGCATGTGCGGACATCAGGATATAAATTTAATAAATAAATGAAGGTCTGCAAGACGGAGCTCTTCCACTGGGCCTTCAACTAGGAGCCGCCTATCACTACCACCCACTAGCACCATCATCAACATCTCTGGCAGTGGGCTGGCCCTGTATGGAGATTGGGCCATAACGTCGTGGGAGACTGAAATACCACTGAGTCGGGATCTTAGTAGATCATTTTATAGTATGCCATTCTAATTTACTGATGGATTATTATTGCGAGCCCTTTAAATGTCACTGTATAATAATTTTAATTGTTTTTAAATGTTTTATGCCAACTGGCCATATGGTGCCGGCTTATGTGAGCCACCCTGAGCCTATTCGCGGGGAGGGCGGGATATAAATATGACAAATAAATAAATAAATAAATAAAATCTTGAATGTAAGATGACCCAATTAAACTGTTATGCAGCAAAAAATTATCGAACATACCTGTAACCCATACACAAGTGTAATAAATTGCATTTGTAATACAAATTAGGTTCAGTCTGTCAGCAGAAGTTTGCAGAGAGCGCTCTGGCCAAACTATGCAGCCTGGTAGCACTTCCTTAAATGGCATATAAAACCTCTGACCTCCAAAACATCTGACTTTGATAACTGCACAACAGACCTTTCAGAGGCCACCCCTCCGTAATCTTCAAACAAATAAAAGTGTCCACACTTCAGCCAAATCCTGATAGTGGAAAATGACATGCATATGCCACGTCTATCAGAACATAAAAAGCCAAGAGTGCAGGTATATTATTCTCACATGCCAATGACTCAAGCATCTTTGACTGTACAACAATAAAGTTGCTGATGCCTCTTAGCTGGAACGGCTCAGAACCGAAGCTATAAGCAGAACTCAGCACAAGAGACATCAACAAAGATGGATCTAAGGGAGCATGTTGGCCTCAGAAGTGCTTCAGTTCATAAGATCACCCACAACAACTATAAAGGTAAAGATTTCCCCTGCTCGAAAGTAAGTCAAATCCGACTCTAGGGTTGCGGTGCTCATCTCCGTTTCCAAGCCGAAGAGCCAGCACTGTCCAAAGACATCTCCGTGGTCATGTGGCTGGCATGACTAAACATCGAGGCGCACAGTGCGCTGTTACCTTCCCACCGAAGCAGTACCTATTTATCTACTTGCAATTTCTTGCTTTCAAACTGCTAGGCTGGCAGGAGCTGGGGCCAGAGACGGGAACATACTCCGTCATGCAGCACATGGGTCTCGAACTGCCGAACTACTGACCTTCCAATCTGCAGTTCAGCGTCTTGACCACTTGAGCCACTGCAGCCCCACCAACTTAACTATATTGGGAACTAAATCATCCGCTTGGGTCCCCCGCGCAACGGTGTTCTAGAGCACCTCTGAACCTTGGCTTCGTTGGTGCCAATACTTACGCCCAAATGCCTTCTTCTGCAAACATTTTTGGAGCCGCTTGCCTCAACGTGTTGGCATACCCAGGCTGGGTCTGAATGCGAACCTTAGCAGCTTCCATCGGAGCCAGAGCAATATCAGCAAAGAACTCCGCACTGGCAGACGCAGCCAAGTACAATGACGTACGCCACAAATATGTGTTTTCCTACGTAAACAGAAAAATCAGAGACCAAAAAATTAAAAGGTGTTCATAGGATCTTCACTGAAGAGCTGAGACGGTTCTGAATGCGACAAGAGCTTACCTCCCCCAACATGTTGCTGTAGAAGACTTTAAAGATTTCGTAGAACCCAAACTTGCAGAGTCCTTGCATAGAGTATCCAATAAAGGTGGGGGCCCATCCCTTAGCCAAGCCGCGGACACCATCTTCTTTTAAAGTGACCGAGAAGCCATTGAAAATGCTTCTGTACTTCTGCGGATCCACCTAGATGAATTTGAAAGTCAACAGTTAGTTATGTCACCTTACAGAGGCTGTGATTCACCAGGGTGAGTTGTATATTTCTGCAAGTACACAGAAACTGTAACTAATTATGTAATCTTTATTTTACATATAGCATATCGTATTTAACTCAATGGCTGTGGTCACCATGGTGGCTTGGCGCGATATGGTGCCGCCTCTAATTGAACCGGGTTAAAGTGTAGTGGGATATATCAGCCACTCATTATACCCTGCTGTGGGTTACCCACGGAGACATCCTGTGGTAAAGCATCCACATTATTGTGGTGCCTCAGCAAACTGCAAAAAAAACCCCAAAAAACATGTGTGCATAGTGCACATGCACAGGCAATTCTTTTAAAAAAACCGCCTCCGTAGTAGCAGAGCGGATCTGCAGGTTCAGACTGCCAAATCTGTTCTGTGCGCGCTCCCCCGTGTTCAGACATCCGGCCATGCGCAATGAATGCGCGGGGACACAAAAACACCACTTCGGAGGTGGTGGCTTTTTAACCCAGCTCCAAGTCGTCCTCTGACGGGGTGAGCACGCCTGACAGATGTGGCTCTATGATGGGGCCCATTTAATCCATTTGTAAAAGGTGTGCCTATATCGGGCAAAACTGCCAGTCTGAACACAGCCAATGTTTAATTAGAAGCATTTAAACTTAAAGCAACAGTAACAATTTTAGTACAAGCAAGGGACAGTATGGACGGCATTTTTAAAGGCGAGAAATCTCAAGTGTGTGAAAGAAAAAGGGATATTATCAGGACCAAGGCAAGTACAAAACCTAAGTGCTACAAGACATTGCTCCATTTCACAGCAGTGCACACTACAAAGAAGAACTGCACAGAACTATGAAAGTAGCTGAAATGAAGTTTAGTTTAGTTTCCCTGGATATACAGTCTCGGTGGGGGGTGGGGTGGTGGTGGTGGTGGTCAGGAATTCTAAAGTATCCTACGTGGGAAATTAATACGCTGGCATAAATTAGGAAAATATACTTGTCCATATCTCAGTAGAGACTTCCAGTACATTTTGGTCCTACCTTCCTATCTCCTGTTACCCTCCACTGACTACTGACTTGTTCCGTTTCACATTTCCTCTTACTTTCTGGTGTCTTTAGTGACTTCAGTCTGAGCAGATTACACTTTCTGTAATGCATATTTAGATCACGTACAGGTCAAGAATGTACCCTCAACACCTTTAGCTGCTTTACAATCTGATCTTATATATACTTAGAAGTCAGACACTGATTTCAATGGAACTTCCTCCCACTTTAAGTGTGACTGTATTGCAGCCTGAGATTAACACAACTTTTCCAAAGAAAACTTATTGAATGAAACTACACTAGCTCTTTAGTCTTTAATTAACGCTTCAGGTTTTGGAACAGTTACTCTTGCACAATCATATTCTTCAGTTACACTATCAAAGGCACAGGCAAACTGTTCACTCACAATTAGAAGCACTGAGCATTTAGTATCTCATCCAATCTCGCAACCCATTATTTGTGTAATTACTTTACCATTTTCATACGTGCCCCTTCAGTTCTCCAAGAATGTAATCCTGTGCACACATGCTGGGGAATAATCCCCACAACTCATTGAAACTTACTTCAATGTAAACGTATTCAGATTTTTTCCTCTGTTTTCAGTGGTAACCTAGCCAAGTAACCCAGATGTCCAAGTGAGCTTGCAACACCTAAATCTAAGTGAAAACTTTCCGTTTATTATAAGACAAGCCTTTTAAAATTCCACATCAGTTAAGGCTTAATCTGCATAAGATTACCATTGAACTTTTTTACACATGCACTGAAGACATTTAACTATAACTGTTGTTGTTGTTCAGTCACACAGTCAAGTCCGACTCTTTGCAACCCCATGGACAAGATCACGCCAGGCCCTCCTGTCTTTCGCCATCCTCTGAAGTTTGCTCAACTTCATGTTCGTTGCATCGATGACACTGTCTAACCATCTCATCCTTTGCCGTCCCCGTCTTCTTTGAGCTTCAATCTTTCCCAGCATCAGGGTCTTCTCTAGTGAGTGCTCCCTTCTCATTTGGTGGCCAAGGTATTTGAGCTTCAGTTTCATTATCTGGCCTTCCAGGCAACAGTTAGGGTTGATTTCTTTTAGGATTGACTGATATGATCTTGCAGTCCGAGGGACTCTCAAGAGTCTTCTCCAGCACCATAGTTCAAAAGAATCTATTCTTTGGCGCTCGTCCTTCCTTATAGTCCAGCTCTCGCAGCCATACATGACTACTGGGAATACCATTGCTAAAACTACCTAGCTTAAATTCTTTCTGAAGTTTTCCACAAGCAAAGTTTTGGGCTGGAAACACATGTCAACCAAACTTCTCCATGGATGAATTAAGATTCCAGTTGGTTATAAACATTCCAAAAACCTGTATCAGCTATTAGTATTCGCTTTTCATATTCCAGTCACTCCCTACCATTTCATTATCACCCTAGTTAATTTTTAAATTTACAATAGCTTAGTATGAAAGGATTTTCAACAACCTATTTATACATCATTGGGAAAGAGGGAAGGCAAAGAGCCTATGACTTTTCAGTTCAGAATAAGGCTAATAAGGACATGTAGTAAAGGTAAAGATTTCCCTTGCTCGAAAGCCAGTCCAATCCGACTTTAGGGATGCGGTGCTCATTTCCGTTTCCCAGCCGAAGAACCAGCGCTATCCAGAGACATTTCTGTGGTCATGTGGCTGGCATGACTAGACGCCAAGGCGCACGCGACACTGTTACCTTCCCACCAAAGTGGTACCTATTTATCTACTTGCAATTTCTTGCTTTCGAACGGCTAGGTTGGCAGGAGCTGGGACCAGAGACGGGAGCTCACTCCGTCATGCGGCACTCAGGTCTCGAACTCCTGAACTACCGACCTTCCGGTCTGCAGGTCAGCATCTTAGTCACTTGAGCCACCGCAGCCCCTCTAATAAGGACATGACAGAAGTCTATAAAATTATGTACAGGGTGAAGAAAGGGACAGGCAGAATTTTTCCTCCCCCTTCCACAATACTCGCTCTTGGGCAGATATTTACTTGATAGTGTTTTATTACCAAGTTCAAGCCAACATACATTTCCAAGGCTATTACAGAAACAACACAAAGTTTCTAATATTTGGTAGCTTACAAACCTGCATACGGCACTTCACTAAGTCCAAAGGTACGACTGCTGTGTGTGTCAGACCACAACTTAGAATCCCACCAAAGCCACAGAGCGCATAAAACTTGAGCGAGCCATATTCACAACTGTATTCTTCTGTATTAGAAAAAAGACACACCATGCTGTTACGTAACTCACGTGCCAAAGCAAAACCTGTAAGACTGAAATCCAAGTCTTGCTCCATTTTTTATTAGTAAGGTTATCACGCCTTATCATGATGCAATACACATCCTATTCCAACATGCAATCAAACCTGAATTCGGCATTTAACGAGATCTAAGGGAACCAAAGCTGTGTGTGTTGTGCCGCAACTAATAATCCCACCAAAGCCACAAAGGAGGAAGAATCTGCCCGAGCCATATGCACAGCTATAGTCTTCTGCTTAAGTGAAAAAGAAAGAAAGGTATGAGTTGCAAGCTGCAGAAGTGTCATTTCATTACCCAAGACAAGGGATCTTTTAGTAGACCCAAGCAAGTCTTACTTTCCCCCTGAACCATGTCTGAGTTCCTGAAGTTTATGAAATAGGGGATGAATGTCTTATATGATTGCAGATACGGTTATGTTTCTCAGTTATCACAAATAAAACATTAATGCTATGTCAACATTTACGCAGATACAAGCAGAGATTTTAGCATTTCTTTACAAATGATTTCAATTTTCTACCACAGCTGCAATAAACTCCAATGACACAGAAGGGGGCTCCATCAGCTTTTCATTACTGCTACCGCCACCAGTGAAAGACCGTTAACTGGCAGTAGCCAAAGTCATCAAGTTTGTATCAAGGAACATTTTCCATGATAATTATGGTAAAGGTGCTGTATTCTGTTTGTACAACAATTTAAGTTTGGCAGCAGAGAAACAAAGGGGAAAACCCCCAAACAAATACCCATGCCCAATCAAGTCAAAATGGAATAGTAAATGTACAACAGAATCTCCTACTGGTGTTTGAGCAATTAAAACTTGATGCATTAGTTATAAAACTTACTTCAGGTTTTATTTTAATAGTTATAAAACTGACTTCAGGTTTTATTTTAAGAACCAAGCCATAGCAACTAAGAAACAAATTCTTGCAATTATTCAGATGTTCTTATGAATGGCTGCAGATAAGCACATTCTACAGATCCCCAAGTAACTCAATTCTGAACATCATTTAAGAAAAGAACGTATCCTGATGGTTTATTCAAAAGATGTTATCTAAAAGGAAGTATTACTTACACACTGAGCTCAAGAGCTGATGTTCCAAAACTACACACACTAACCCCTAACCAAAACTCAGGGACTCAATAACAACTGTCATAACAGTGCAAAGTGCTTTGCAATTTACAATGCTTCTGAATATTATAAATTTTGTAATTTTAGCTAACTGCATATGCAGAGTGGGAGGCACGCAAAGTAAATGAGTCTTAGTCATTTTCACTGACCCAAATCCAAATCACTTCCCCATAAATGCACTGAGATTTGAGACAGTGTAGAGAATAACCAATAAGCTTTTCCAGGCCCCAAACCGTGATTTCTTATTTGGGCTTAGAACTCCACAAACAAAGCTACAAGCCCACTTCTTATTACAAACCAGTAAATACTGAAACATGGAACTGCAAAGCAGGGGAGTGCCAGTTCCTTGATCTAGTCATTCCCAGTGACCTTGTGCAAACTCTTCCATCTGAACACACAGGCAAAGTCACTGCCTGCTAACAAGTTACTATGGGAACAAGCCCTTTCCTATTAATTGAGGATTTCCCTCCTGTGGCATCCATCACCCCCTTTTGGCACAAGGCACTGGCTTGAAGGGGGACAATCTCCTATATTTGAAGCCAGGCGAGGTTATCTCAGGCAGATCCAAAGCATAGGCCCCAGGCCTTCAAGCCTCAAGGTTACAGAGATAGTGATGGAGCCACGTGGAACCAGCCTCTTCTAGACACCTCCCATGGCTTCGGGTGAAACTAGGGCACAGAAGAGATCCAATGAGGCCCACAGCTAGAGCTAATGATTAGAAATAATGGCACAGAATACAACTAATGAAAACCCTTTTGGAATCACTGTTATGACAGCTTATTTTTAGCATTAGATCTTTACCTAGAAGCAAGAGCTACAAACACTTTTGGCAAAAGTTTAAACTACCCTGTTTGTCTGCTTCTGACTGCATAACCCATCTCACAACTGACATTTCCCAAAACAGTCTGCATCTAATGTCAACTGTTCAACCTCTGCAGACTATCTGTATTCCACTGAATCTTTTCCCCCTGTATTCTGTAATTCCACTGAATCTTTTTTTCTGTATTCCACTGAATCTTTCCCCCTGTATTCTGTATTCCACCGAATCTTTTTTCCTCTGTATTCCACTGAACCTTTCCCCCCCTGTATTCTGTATTCCACTGGATCTTGTTCTCCTGTATTCCACTGAATCTTTCCCCCCTGTATTCTGTATTCTACTGAATCTTTTCCCCTGTATTCTGTATTCCACTGAATCTTTTTTCTCTGTATTCCACTAATCTTTTTCTCCTGTATTCCACTGAACCTTTTCCCCCCCCCCCCCCCGCTCTTCTTT